AAGTCCAGAGTTGAATAAAAACCCGTATGTTGATTCAGAAAACCAATGGAGACATCCACTTCAAGTCCTTTCGAAGAATAGTCTCCATATACTCATGTATCGCACTAGTAAGTTGTAGGAATGTTAGTCTGACAGGATGGCGAAACTAGAGTAAAGTAAAGCTACGCAGTAGTTAGAAACGCATTCAACTATTTGATAAAAAAAGGCAAAACGGCTAGATAAGCAGCAAATAGCTTTTGGATTCAATCCATCTGCGTGCGAGCTGCATGCATGTATGACAAATGAAACCGTTCAGAATGATGGTCCGCGTTTAATTATGGTTGAAGTCAGCTAACGGGTTAAAGTTGTTGTCACAAGTAACCCAGTTTCTCTAGATCAGCAGGGATATTCCTTGATCACCTTGAGTATCAGCGCTTCTGAATATAACTTTTGCGGCTTATACATGTGTATGTCCTTTCCTACGGACTACCAGGGACTACCTGTCACCCTGGTTTAGGGGTACGGATGAGCTAACGAGTCGCCACAACTTTGACGTTTTGTCCTGCATCGCTCAGGCAGGCCAAAATTATATGCAGCTGTTTCTTGGGTAAGTGCGCTGTGATGTTCTCAGGCATCCATCTACATATCAGCCTTCTCGTTTGACCAGTAAGTCTTCTCTGAGAAGAGTTACGAGATTACTAAGAGATATTTAAGTAGCCAAACAGGAAAACATTTCCCTCCAATCTGCACTAGCAACGGAGTGAAATGCCACTTGGTGCAATGAAAATGTGAGTATAAAGGTTCTTGAGGTACGTCTCCCGTGACATATTGGTTAACTTTTGTTAGCTCCTTCTAGTTAGCGCGGTTCTTCAGAATTTGGACAAGTAATCGTCCAAATAGAAAGCCCACAGCTGCCCTGTACGCCTGTTTGTATCATGCGCCACTGAACAGTAATTAGGTATTTAGCACCCCTTTGGCATGCCAGGAGGTTAAATTCTGGCTGACTGGTTATTAAGAACGTTATCTCATGTACGAAACACAAGAAAGTTCACTAGAAAGCATGATAAAAGCCCTAAAAGTGCCATAACTTTCACTCTATCTGTAAATAAAGTATATTGATATGATTTAGACGACAAGGGTTTGATACCTCACACAGAAATCTGGTGATATTCTGAAATGACGAACTGTGATAATTGTAGGTCAAGCAACACTAGTCTTGTTTGAAAGCATGCCAAATGTAACAGGCGAATGGTATCTTCGAGTGACGCGTAATACCAGAACCTCCGGGAAGGTACTATTAATGTTAAACTAATTCACAAATTATACAAACCCCGACGGTAGGTACTCGTCCAAAACAAATGGTCCATTTGAACTATAAAAGTACACCACAAAGGAGCAAACAGGCTCCCACTTGCGACAGTCACACGTGCACAAATTCGGCTACCAACTGCCGGATGACCTCAAGGCCAGATGGGTGAAGTGGCTAGCACAAACGTCAGTTCATATATACACACTAAACACAAAAATCGGGGAGGGGGTTACAGATGAAGACAGAATAAACGTGGGGAATTTCACTTGGATGATACAATAACTGACGTCATCAACTTGTGCTTGAGTGCTTAATGCAGGCTGTAAAAGTCTGGCCAGTAACCAGGTAGGACGATAAAGGCAATCGAACTGATGGTAGTTGGCAGCTATGGGCGACGAATCGTTGAGTAACTGGATTCTCAGTAAACAGCACTTTTGCCGGACAAAAGTCTCTTGGTCGTCTTCCGCCAAAAGGGTCCGCCAAAGCGATGTTTGAACCTGAAGACAGTCTAAACTCCCCGAAAGACCTGATATGTATGTATAATTCATATCATTCCGGACTTTCATAAAGAAAATAAAGTTTAGGAAAATTCGAAACAGATCACTTAGAGGTGGTATGATAATATTACACCATTTGCATATCGAGACCATAGCACTTTCACATGACGTGAGTTTCCGCCATATCTAGATTCCACTTCCCCTTGGTAGTGGGTCTAGGCATCATCTTAACATATATTTTTTTATCTCCTGTTCTATTAACTGTGCGGAAATCAGTTGTCGGTTTTCTGTTTGGTGGAACGGATTGAAAAGCGCATGGATAATCGTAATAATTATCGACTCTTCAGTTTCACATCACTCTTGTTTTGAATAGTCGTCCTCCTGTCCTGGCGCAATTATTCAGGTGAATCCGCACCAAAGGGGAGGAGGCACTGGACTCGAGTTTCGCTCATGTTAGAGCTCATCAGCAATACACATCTAATGACCGTGCCGAGGTTTGAACTCCGGACACCTGACATGCGAGGCGAACGTGTTACCGACTGCTTTGCAACTTTTGTGTTGGACAATTAGTGGTCCTTGCTTAACTGCACATTTCTTGAAGCCGAAACTAGCCACACTTTCGCGTTCCATAGTTAGATAAAGGTTTCAAAATAGAGATCACAAAACCTATGTCTCCAAATCTAGGCCGTATGTTTTTTCCGCGGAATGTCATATAGACAGCAAATGCGATTTCAGTCATGCTCGAACCGGCTTTTGCATCTCTCGGACAACCTGACCAGTTTGCTCTAAATTTCACCGAGCCACACCGTGTTTATAGATGACCGCTGAAAATTTAGACAAAATAAGGCGGCTGTTCATCAGCGATTTGGATCACCGAAGCGGAACAACAGCTGTTTAGACCAAGATCCTAACTCAGCTATTATACTCTTTTCAGAGTGGATGAGCACTCGTTCAACACCACTTTTGCAAACGACTGAAACTCGAAAAAAATCCGCCTTCAGTTCGTAATTCCCTGCCTTGTCGACGGTTAGTCGACACTTGACAACGTGGTCGAAGACGTGAGGTCATCGACTGGGGAGTTATGTGCTTGGTCCTCCTGTAAACTGAGATGCATGGCGGCTGGTTGAAACCGCAACACGCAACACATTCAAGCTGAAAATGACCGCAGAGTTGCATGAAGTGACCGCCTTGGTACAGCGGATTTCGGCACATTATCTCATCCATAGTTTAGGCGACAGATACAATCATTCGGCCCGAATTTCGTTTTTCTTCCTATGATGTCAAGCGATGTGCGTGTACACGCAAAGTACCGGTTGAAGGAAGAAAGCCTTTTTAGAACCAACTGAACACCTACGGACTATTGGACAGAAAAACGAAACTCCTATATGCATCTGGTTTATAAAAACGCGTCTCCCTGAGCTTTCCTGAATATCCATTGACTATCGCTCAAACGTAAACGTATGCTACGAAGCAATCTCATAAATTCCGTAATAAATTCCACTTTCCAGTAAACACGAAGCGGAGTTACGAGACAGCATACTACTCGCATGCCTCATTAGTGGTATACACCGTTGCACCAGCAAATTCTTGTGTTATGATTTCGACGAAACTGGCAACTCAACTATCTCTATTCCACTTAAAGTTACTAAGTTAATCTCACTGATATTTTGCAGTTCCTAGCCCTCCAACTGACGTTCTGGTCACAATTGTCACAAACCTACCCAGTCCATTTGTTTCGTGGGTCCATGGAGGTGCATGCAGTGCCAAGGATTTCCGCTTAGACGTGCATAAAACCAATGCGAGTTTGGTAAAGACGTATGTCTCAACTGGAAGATCTGCCAACCTACCCGGACTGCCGACTTGTGAGTCCCTATACGTCAGTGTCTTCGGACGCAACGAAGTCGGATTCAGCTTAGCAGGACGCAGCTCAGAATTTACTGTGCAATCAGGTAATGGGTTGCTGTAAATCAGTTTGATTAGGAAACATTTTTCTGCCTAAAACTATCTACCATGCCTGTGTTACCTTTTGTTTTGTTGCGTTTCGTGAATCCAAGCTACTGGCTTCTGGTTCTCGTGGCACAACACAAAGTGTCTCAAGAGATAACCAAAAAACAGTTACTTTTCGGGAAAAAGTACAATTTCCCGGGCAACGGGTTCCGCTTTATTTTCCGAATTCTTGTGTACGGAACCACTTTTGGAGGAATTGATTTTTTGTTAAAACAACCGGTGAACGATTGATCACGTGACATGAAATTCGGCCAAATACAGGTCGGAGAATTTCGATTATGTCTAAGCTGAGTGCAGCCGCACATGTTGTTCAACAGAAGGGGGATTTTTTTTAACTAAGTGCTTATTTTCTGATCGAACTGCGTAGAATCTCCCATCCAAGTTAAAAGCATTGTTCACTGCACGGGGAAAACTCATCTCATTCCTTGTACTTGCAAAATTTGCACCTTAGCCGGAAGAATACTTAGGCTGAATAGTCGAAGGGGCATACAACACTTTGCTCTTACAAGATTAAGTCGGTATCGGATTCTGTAATCACCTATAGAACAACTACACCTGCGTGACACTGGAGAATTATTAGTTGAATGTCCTTCAACAGGAATTTGCCGAGCACATAAGGACACAGTAAGCTATGTTTTATTTCAACGGATCGTAGGTCCAGTGGCATCCAACTTTTTTCAATTTGGACTAAATTCAGTGTGTTCTTGGAAAGCATTTTGTTGATAATGCTGGTCTTTTTGGCCAGAAACCGTTTTCAGGTTGCTTTGATTCATATAAACGGAATAAATAACTAATTATGTTTTCGAAAAAGTTTGGTGACAATCGGTAGATTTATTGCTGGGCAACGTTTCGCTTTTGACACAAAAGCTTCGTCAGGCCAAGTGACTAGGTTCCGAGGTTGGTGGAGACTCAAGGCGGAAGGAGAACCAATGAGCTAAGCCAAGCTAAATCTCTGTTGGGTGTCGGTCGAGGGGTTTTGTGTGTTAGGTTAGGAACCGCCTTAAGCTATTCATCAGCACACCCAAAGTCCGTGTACGCCAGTATTGTCTCATCAATGTTTCGTCGAGTCAGAGCGCTGTGCACAGAAGAGATCGACCGAACGGCAGCTCACATCGAGATTGCCAAGAAACGTCAAGAAATAGGATACCCAATGAGTTTGAGTAAGCGTCAACTAAGGAAGATATAGGCTGCAGTATCTAGACCCAGTAATGAATGGATTGGCACAGCAGTCATTCCATATAAAGCAGGAAAATCGGAGGTTATTTGAAGACTGTTGAACTTAGCCAAAATTCGGGGAGCTTTTCAGCAGGGAAAAACGCTGTTTGAAAGGACTAGGGACTGCGTGTATAAGATTAACTGTAACGATTGTGCTAAGGTTTACGTAAGACAAACTGCCAGGGAATTACACACCAGAATTGGTGAGCATAAAAGAAGGATAAACAAACCACCAAGGAATGCACGAGAATACCAAACACTGGGCAAAGACTCAGCGATGGCGGTACACGAGACGTAGAACAGATCTGGAGAATGTGGAAGTTTTAAGACGGGGACTGTGAGTCACACCACAGCGGCTGATAGCCGAGGCGGTGGAAATTACTAAGCATCACAGCGTGAACAGAATCGTCGGTGTGGAGCTGGCGAGCGTATGGAAAGCGGTCTTAGATAAGCCGAGTTGATACGTGACTGTGTGGTTGTCGATCCACGTAGAATCATTAGCGAAAACTTGGGGGTAGGGGTAGAAATTCTAACCCGACCAAAGGTCACAACATCCCTCTTACAAAACTATCTTAGCACTAGCTCATCCCACAGTTGAACAGAAGGTTCCAACGACATTCAAGAGGGACCATCAAATGAACCGAACCAGAAGAAATAGACCCTAAGCTGAACCCGAACACCGACCCAACACTTGTTCAACCACTCTAACACACTAAATTCCCTCGGCCGACACCCAACAGAGATTTAGCTTGGCTTAGCTCATTTGTTCTCCTTCCGCCTTAAATCTCCACCAACCTCGGAACCTAGTCACATGACCTGACGAAGCTTTTGTGTAAAAAGCGAAACGTTGCCCAGCAATAAATCTACCGATTGTCACCAAACTTTTTCGAAAACGACGACTACCCATTCAGTTCCAAGTATTTTTCACGTGGCTGAATATAACTATTTATGTTCTTGTTGAACTGCGGGAAATTGGAGCAAAAGTGTAAGTCGAGTTGGGTGAGAACTGATCAAGCTTTTTGTTCAACATTTCCTAACCAATATCTGATTTGATTATTTTCAACTCTGTCAAGATGAAGTTCGAGATGGCGAGTGTGTTAACCGAAACTCAGATATTTTGAAGTTTTATTTAGCTCCAGCCATTTTGCAGTTTTAGAATCCGAACCTCCTTTGGACGTCCAAGTTATACCGAATCATGAAGAGTCCTACATTACTGTGACGTGGAGAAATAGTGCAACATGTCAAAGTACCAAGTACGATGTACTGATTTACAGTTCGTTCGGTTTTTTGGTGGAAGAATCACACCATGAACGATCTCCCGTCAGAGTGACGAATGTTCGGAAATGTGTGCCAGTGCTCATATCGGTAAGAAAATCCGGACCGTGGGGGGTAGGCCAGGAGTCGGGAAAGAAGGAAGTTCGGCTATTAGAAAGTAAGTTCTAAAAAAATACATGATATACTGCTCGCTTCAAAACCCGGAAAAATTACACATACTCAATTATTCGTGTATCTATTGTTTTTAGCTGATCAATTATTTGAAAATTTCACAACAAGCTGGTGATAAAAAAAATCGTGTAATCCCTTAGTTTTAGAAACGACTCCTGTAAATTTACACCTGAAAAACGGATGATTTTTCAGCAAGCTCCATTTCTGACTGTAAAATTACTCTCTATCCAGAACGCAGCCTAAATTTTTGAACCTATAGAACTCATCAGTGTTGCTTATCATATGGTAACAGGACTGGCTAAAAGTGGACTTTAGGGAACGCTTTTGTATCACGTGAGACGGTCTCACTTGATAGCATGTTTGCTCATTTGGTTCGTACTTTTGTACCGGATACTGCAATAGTACTAGAGGAAATGATACAACTGTGTGAGCGGCTGCGAATCCCTGCTTCGCAACCACACCACTCGATATGTGTCCCGTGATACAATCACGTTTACAAGAAAACTAGGGCAGTGTACAGCTGAAAACGTTCAACAACAAGAAAATTACCGATCTTGGTTGATTTTGGTGCATTTTGGTTTTCGCATTCCACACCCATAAGCCAACTGTTACCTCAGGGTCAGTTTTTGTCTCTGAAACAGCCACCTGGCTATTGTACCCCGCAATGTATCAAACGGGAGTATATAAAAGCGATGTGGTTAAACTTGTCACAGACGACTGCGACCATTGTGGATTAAATTTCCCAGAACTGCTTCTGATTTTGATTGGTCCAGGTTGGATAGAATAACTCATGTCCATTTGGTACAACACCTATAGATTGTTCGCCAAATTGAACGCTGAGGTACCGATAAACAAGGCAGTGCTTTCAAGTTGGTTGACAGGATCCCTTCAATATAATAAATTGGCTTGTATAACACTCTTGGGTAAATTGATGAGGGACTATGATGGGGAGCATCAAAGAAAAACGTTCTCCTTTGGAAGTAAGGCTTCTGAAAATCAAAGCTTGGCAACTTCTATGTCGTGTTCACAAATGGATGGAGGCAAGATAAATGTCACGTTAGCCATCAATTCAAAAACAGGGACCATAGGACAAGGTGACAGTGTCCGTCCGTATAAGTCAATAATTTTCGAACTCCCCAAGGGGGACATGAACTATGGAACTCTTCATCTTCGTCAAGCTGTCAAAATACAGCTGCTGCTACTGAGGACTCAGTTCTTTAGAATCTCTCCATTCACCATTCGGTTTTATTCCTAAACTCAATAGGCAGTTATTACTGGGTACCACAGGTGCTATATTCTGTCTGTCCGAGTTAATCGCACTGCTGATTGGCCACTCGTGGCTGGTTGGTTATGGGTTGAAAGGACAAGCAGTGAGGTTTCACGTTGGGGAACCCCTGGAGCTTCACAATGTGCACACCGCCGGTGCTTCACAATAGAGATAAACATACTGTACAACGCTTTCCCGATTTTCAACATGGATTAGCTTTCTGAGAGAGGAATTTTTACTTAACAATAACGCCAGTCATATTCGTAAAGTATCACACGGTTAAAGAAAAAAATAGAATGTGAGCAGACCTCTTACCTGTAAATTCCTCTGGTAAACTTTCATGATACGAGAAACCATTTTACGCCACTACCAGTGTGTTGACGTCCTTTTTCAGAAATATAGTCACCTTCCAAAAACCAGCTGCCTCTCGAGACACCCATTTCCAAGGTTGAAACGAAGGTTTCATGATTCATAAATAACTTCATTGTCGGAAGACAGCTTGTGTCCAACTACTTGTTTAAGGCGTTTTTTGGTTTCATACTTCACTTTCCAGCAAGAATCGGGTGTAGGATAACAGTGAAGTTGTGCAGGGATCTGGAGTTACTAGACTACAGCATCTTTATTAGTGGGTAATTTCTAGCCCATCTGATATCTAACATAATTCGGCAGCTGAAAATGTTCAAGCTGATTCAAAGGTGGGCTTAAAATAATAGACTAGTTTAGCTTGCAGCTAGTATACGACCGCCGAAGTACATGCTACTCTGCTCATATGGAATTCATCCGTCCAAGACTGATTTTGCGACCAACCTCTTGCCCACTGCTTGCGGCAATTGTATGTTTGTTTCACAATTGAAATGATGAATATGTCAGCACTGCGCCAGTGAAATTGAGTCAGCAAAAATCACATTTGAACTTCACATAAACAAAAAACACTTCGCTGGGATTCCGTAGCACGATGACCGTATTAAGAGACTAGCGACGTCGTCTGTCTTCAGTGCGATCACAAATCGTTGACCCCTCCTTACATTAGTGAATCCTCAAAAGGTAGTCACCACAAGGGCGTGAATTGCGTCTCAGGTTTGGGAGAATCCTATTCCAGGAGCTTGAATGGGTCATCAGAGTGGTTGACAGGAAGTAACTCTTTCGAAAAATGCACTCAAAACAATCAAGCCATCAGATGAAAATATGTTCATAAAATTTAACCCTGAGTGAAGAATTGCTGGCTTTGAATATCCACTTGTGTTCAGTAACATAATAGGCTAGTAGTTTAAAAAATACTACATTACATCGAAAGAATGCAACTTTTAAATTTCCACAGCATCAAAAGTGGGAATAAGTCTATAGTTTTTTTCTCATTTTTTTCAGAACCCACTCAACCAAGAAATCTCGTGGTGCAATTGCAAACGGATCCACCAGGGGTGAGAATTTCATGGAAGAACAACGGTGCATGCGCTTTTCCTGAATATGTGGTAAACGTTTACTCGGACGCCGGGACTTCCATACAGTCGATGGTGACAAATGAGACCTACTTAAAATTATCAAGCCTACCCATGTGCGGCAACTTGATTGCTGGCTTAGTGGCCCGCAACTCCGTTGGACAGAGTCCGGAAACGAAAAGTTCACCTTTTAGTATACCAGCAGGTAACTCGGGTTTTCAGTTCCATCTATACTATCATAAAGACATAGTTCTCAGGCGAAAAACATGCTCCTGCAACGTACTATCTTGACTTGAGGGTGGACAAAAATTTTATCTAATTTATAAATTTTGAAGGAACAGGGAAAAAAACGGAGACCGTTTAACGATCCTCAAGGTGTATCGACTAAACACCAAAATGTTCTGTTTCGCGAGATGCACTTTTCCGCAAATTATAGTGACGCTGACCAAACATCGCCTTGCATCTAATAGTGTACAGGTGATGATGATGATGGCCTTAATATAAATCAGAAGCTGTATGCACTAATAAAAGTTTTTAGCATGGTTGACGGTGGTGGGTTGCAACACGTATAAAAATAAATACAATGCGAAACGGGAGCAAGTCAAAAAAGGAGCTTATCGTCTGTGAGAGTTCCTTGTTGAAAGTACGGACGGCGGGAACGTGTTTTTCTCCGCAGTGCAACTGCTACACGTGCTCCTTAATTGTCCGTGGACTTGGAGTGTTTGGCTGACTCCTTGCGCCCTGCGCACGCGCGCCAGTCTGTGTGCTGACTGCGTTCGGTTTCCCCACATGTACGTCTGTTTGCGCGTAGGCGGGCGCGTCAGCATGAGTGGTTGCTGCGCTCACTAGACAATCGACGTCTGATAGAACACCTTAATGTGACGTGGTTGTCGGCAAGTCTCGTGATCCAGCGAGCGATTGTGAGCTGAACAGTCAACTGTGTGGGTGACTGGGTTGCTACACATCTATTAAATGCTTTAAGACCGCACTGTTGACGGAATGCCCAACTGAACTTCACCTTAATCCCGCTTTTGTCCTGATCTTCAATCTGCTCCTCTGTGTGCAGTGCGTCTGGCGTTTTAGCCAAAGCGGTGTCTGTTGTCACCGGCACATGTGGTGTTGAAATGAATTACGACATTTGCAACACAAAGCGAAAGTTATACAACACACTGATTTAAAAAACGGTCCTTAATTTTCTCCGCATGAAGTAGGCCTGGTAAAGAATCTGAAGAATATTGATCAGTGCCTTCGAGGACTATATTGGTGGTAAGCTGTCCAGTGGTTCCAAAAATCTACTGAATGGCATTCAAAATCGTGTTTTTTTCAGTTTGTACCTCCCTCCGACGGGCGGAATGTTTGTCACTCAACCGTCAACGCCAAAGTCGGCCTCAGAATTTCACTGATAATTCCAAAATTAATCAAGTGCTGTCTTGGTGCAAGTCCAATTCATAGCTCAATGCGTATAAAGCAACGTGGATGTGTAATATGCTCGCTGCGCTTTCAGTCTGCTACTTCAGTAGTTCCCACTTTATCAGGGGTGCGTTTACATAGCTACTGACCTGAGACCAGTTCTTGACGTCTATTCTAGCAAGCCTGATTCGTCCGTTCCACTTCCTGAAAATCAGCAGTTTGTAAACTGTTTTTTTTTTGTTATCTGGATCTGACTACTCACAAGAAAGTCAATGACATCGTGCAGAGAAGAATGTACGTAAAGCTGACATTGACTGGCTAGAGGACACAAACTTTACCAATTTCGTTGATGTTTCACAAAAATACTCACTTTTGTGAGTAGGGCCAGGGGAATTTCGAACATTTTAAAGTGGGTACTCACAGCTTCTAAAAAGTGAAGATGTAAAAACAACTTATATCTTTAGTCTTAGTACGAATCATATGAAACAGCTCCCAGTGACGGAGAAACTGTTTGTTGGCGACCGGAGACCTAAATATGTATGACATTTCTTCAGGATGCATGGCGCTCTAGTTCATATTAGACGGGAGATGAAACCATTACTCAGTAGAACGTCCGATGATCCTGAAACACAGCTTTCGTTCTACATTTCACCAACGGTCAGTACGAATTCTAAGGACAAGCTAATGATAAACATTTAATGGCTTTTCATACCATCGCTCCGCTAGAGGTATTGGTCACGTGAGCCGATCTTGTCACGGAGAATCGAAGAAAATTGTTCAAAATCTTTCAAAATTAGGGTGATTAGGTCAACAGCCAGAGCAATCCGAAATAATTTGGTGGATATACGTCGTGGAATCAAATAGTCTCATTCGTTTAGCACAGTTTATCGGGTTTTAGGCAGTAGAACGAAAGTATTTTGATACTGAGGGCGGCCAGTTCAGACTACATGATCCAACGCGATGTGCATTGGAGCGACGAACGCAATTTTTCGGCATGGTCAGCCTTGGATCAAACAAGCAGGAAAAAAGCACCTTCATCATCCACTCTCTTAATCATCGTTGGAGAATCCCCGAGTTTCACTGCTAATTTGCAACTGTGACGATCAGTTACGATTTGGTGAATGCATATGTCTTTAAGCGAATTCGTGCCGTAGATGAGTGGAAGCATTACGGATAATGATAGAAATCTTTGAAAGCTCTGACAGATTCGTGGTCAAAGAAACTAGTGATGGTTCGAATTACACACCACGTGATTTATTCCGGAGGGAATACCTTCATTTTTTGGGCAATACACAATGATACGAGGTCGCAGAAATTTCTGTTCGGTTTCGTCACAGTAAAACTGTTGAGGTGTTGTTTGGGTTCTATTAAAGGCAATGTGTATCCGGCATATTTCAGGAACTTTGTACTGCGTTGCAGTGTGAACCGGTCTTGGTTTTGATTTCTTCTTCCCTTCCTTTATCTCTATTCGCTCTGCTCTCCAGATGCACTTTTGTCCCGCTCCCATTGCGAACTTTCAATGTCTCACTTTTGCCAAATATGACTGCAGTGTTTCGGCAATATTTCGTAGCGGTTGAGGAAACAACTATTCTTAAACAGTTGCTAAATGCCAAATTTTTTACAACGCAAATGGTCACAGACCTGCTGTCAGAATCCTCAACGATGTTTTGTGTACTAAAAAAGCCGGGAGTGAAATGAACTTGAAGCCACACATGGTAACACGTTTGCTGGCAATTAGCTATGAATAATGGCCTAATTTCTTTTGTCTACCTACCTTTGTCGCCTACCTCCCAACTGTGACAGAGTGCAGTGGCTTTGTCCGTTATTAATCCATATTTGATTTGGGGAGTTGCTGTGGTGAATGTTACAGTATTTTACTAAGCGCACTGTTTTCAAGCATCAGTCAAATGCTCATTTAGCTCACCCTGGGGGTTGTGAACTTTAAACTAAAACCTGTCTAGTTTCTCACAACGTTTTAACGTAGGAGAACAGCTGCTACCGTGTAAACGTAAACTGGAGCGTCGGAGAATTTTAATGTTCCTCAGAAGCATAGTTGATGATATGACGTATGGATGTGATATCACCACGCTTTCTGGGGAGAGACCCAATCGGATAGAGGTCCTAACTGCTTCGGTACTGCTTGAATGCCATCTTCAATTGCAAGTTGTGCGTCATCGGAAGTACAAATAGGGGGCTTCTACCTGTGGTTTTCGATCGATAATGACCGACAATGATCGTCAAATATCGCACACTGTTTTATGCGTACGAACTAACGGAATATCATACATTCTCGAATTTTCTTCCAGTTCCTCGTCCTCCAACAAACATTCAGCTGAGATCGAGCGCTAATTACCCCAATCCAGCAATTTTGTGGGACTATGAAGGTGCTTGTGCCGCAACGCATTTTGTCGTGGACATATATAATTCTGATGACCAGCTAATCAAGTCGTTCAACGTGACCGCTTCACCTGCGGAGCTGCTTGATCTCCCGACGTGTGCACTGCTGACTGCTGGTGTGTCTGCACACAACACAGCCGGTTCCAGTTCAATGACGAAAGGCTCAGAATTCACTATAGCGACAGGTAATGCTCCACAAGTTCCGACTTTAACTGTGTCCGTTTTGTTGTCATCCGGGTGAGACCCGTGATCAAGCCGATGGCTTTTAAAATCAAATGACAGTGGTACTGTTTATCTACCTCACATTTCATCTAATTAATCAACTAATTTGGTCATTCATATGTTAACCCGCGGCCACAACGATGCTAGGAATCAAGGATCATACTGTCATTTGGATTGCCACCTCGTCTGCAAACAAACTCCTCAGAAATCTGTCCAAGCAAAGTCCAGTTATGCTTAGCCAATTTCAAGCAGCGCACGGTGGCTTCATCTTGAAGACAACCAACCTATTCCCTCCGTTTGCAGAAAAGTCAGTATATGTTTAAGATAAATTTCATCTCAGTAAAACATAAAACACGAAATCAGTCCAATTTGGGTTCAAGTAGAACATAAGGTTGACGAAAACTCGGGGACTGCGCCTCCCTGATGAACCCCAAGAATCATGGGCTGTCGAAGAGTTTTCAGCAACCTCGTCAGTAGTTTCCTTTATGAAAATATACTGCCATATCTCGAATATCGTGTCAAATGAAACATGTGGTGGCCTGTGTGCACCACATTCAGTTGTAGAATGTCATAAACGAGAGATTCAGTTCAGTCTCTCGTGAAAACCAAAGCGATTTGCAAATGAGTGCATTTCTCGAAAACAGTTCAATTTGGGTTCAAGCAGAACATAAGGTTGACGGAAACTCAGGGACTGCGCCTACCTGATGGGCCCAAGGGCGAAACCGGTCGTGGGCTGTCGACGGGTTTTAAGCAACCTTGTGAGTAGTTTCCTTTATGAAAAAACGCGACTTCATCGCCAAATTTATTCCTAATGCTGACTTTTTGCAACTCAGAAAAGGTGAAAAATGACATTAAATTAGAAATTCTAGTTGGCAGGTAGTCGAAAGACAAAGGTTCATTCAGGTGTGGGAAGAAGTTATGTAAAAAGATTCCAAAAACATTTCTGGTGTTTTAATCAAAACAAGGTTCCTAGTTATATCAATCCGAGGCGAAAATAAATCAAGCTAAAAAATCAAGTTTACAGTTTTCCTTAGCCATGCAAAGAAGAATAACAATTCACTTTCAAATGTATTACCAAGTTGGATTTTTTAACAAACTAATTCTTGGCTTGGAATTTGACGTGGTTTTCAATACAGTGAAAAAGTGTTGCATCTTACGAATCAACAAGTTTCAAGTAGAACATAAGGTTGAAGGAAACCCGGGGACTGCGCCTACCTGATGAGCCCCAAGCAGAAGGACGAAACCGGTCGTGGGGTTTGGCGGGATTTTAGCAACCTTTATGAGTAGTACATTACAAAAATAACCATCAACCAATGTTTCTTTTTTAGCTGTCATTTAATGTCACATGTCTTATAGTTGCAGATTTTGATGTGCCCTCGAACATTCGAATCGTACCAATACACGCCGAAAAGCAAATCATGATTATGTGGCAGGATACACGAGTGTGCCGTGGTACCAAGTACGATGTATCACTTTACGATGAAGCTGGTGCTGTCCTACAGAAATTCCAATATGACAAGTCACCCGGGCGTTTGACTGGTCTACGATCTTGCGTCTCACTATTTGTAACCATGAGAAGAACTGGAACCCAGTGGGTTGGTGCTGAGTCGGATAAAATGAAAGTCCAAATTCTAGATAGTAAGTTCTCTACAAATCCTCAAGGGGGAAATCCATAAGTAATTTTTATGGCTTCAATTATTTCCACAAAAAAGCCGGATGGGATGAAACAACTCGAAACAAGATCGTCACCGCAAGCGTTGTGGCCGTGGGGATTGGGTACCGACGGGCATAGTTTGTGCGCACGTGTTCTTCCTCCGCTAGCGACCACCGGAATGTCATTTGCCTGTCTATGTTTTCCTCGGAACACAGAACGTTTCAAGGGTTCATTTCGGAATTTTCCCACTGCAGCAGTCAGATTTGTCTCCTAGCAAGTGGTCGACCCGGTCATTTGCTCGGTTCGGAACGTCGGTGCATCGTCAATTTTTATCCTGACGAGATATGTTCTCCCTTCCAACAGGGTCAGACGGATAGATGGGATGATCAAATCGTACGACAAGGGCCGCGCAAAACAAAGCATTAGACACATTAGATTTGTTGAGTTTCCAGGGACCGCCTTGGAAAATCTTTGGACAGTGTAAATCCAAATATCGAAGACTGCTTGATGGAGTTGGTATCTTACGTCATCAAAGAACTAGTCTGATCAAATTATCTTTAGAATCGACCCTAATTACTGGTCCTCGATGATTTATTCCAAACCAACAAAGATGTAGTTTCAGATGAATTGTACTATCAGCGTGGCTAGACATCTCATTTGCGATCTGATCGCTTTCGATTTAGCGTTTGACGAACGGAAAAATTACAAAAGTCCTGTGGTTATTCCTTTGTGAACTAGGCTTTGAGTCGGCCGAGTCGGTCAGTTCTTGCGGTACTTTTTGGTTTATTTGTTTATTTGTTATTTATTATTTTTTGGTTCATTTATTACTTATTGGTTTATCTCATTCATTTTTCCCACCAAGCTATTGATTCTTTACGAACTTGCCAGACTGTCTGCGAATATTCCTCCATAATTTTTTAAAAACGTTTTTTCAAAAAATTAAAGAAATTAAATTAAAAATTAAAAAAAATTAAAGTAAATTAAATTTAAATTTAGTGAGTAAAAGTAAATGAAATTAAAATAATAATAATTAAAAATTAAAAATTAAATTAGAGAAATCTAAGGGAAATTCAACTATCTGGCTTTTCGGTTAGTAGCTGTGAACATTCTTATTTGGATATGGTTGGTTAACCAAAGTTGAACTTGGGCTCTATGTCGCCACTCGGTTTCTGATCACGCAATTTACACCAGTCAAGAGGAGTGACTGAAGCGAATACTTCTTGCTGGTTCGAATTCCATAGAGATTCATGAAATACAGCATTTCAGTTTCTTGGCATAACTTGGCAGTGACAGGTGTACTTGCAAACGGTTTTCAATAAAGGCAAATGGGCCTGCGCATCCAAAACAAAACTTCTGTGACATATTATACAAATAATCAAATATAATCTTGAGTGAACAATTACTCGGATTCGCTTAACATACGTTCGCTTGTACTCACGGTGAACGCAGTAAACTACCATCAGAAGTCTAGTTACAGAATGCTGCTCAGATTTGGTGTTGTTCAACAAACTGTCCGTGGTTCTGTACAGTTGTGAAGTGCTTTGTAGCATAGATTGGTTCAGCTTGCGAGGTGAAATCTCAAGTTAAAGATACCGAATCCCTTTAAAATTCGATCAGATAGCTTGGAGGACCAATTATTTGACAAGACGATTGAAACTTCTTTCAGAGAAGTTTTCGCCCAAGAATCGAGTAGATCCGTGACCGCGTGATATGGGGGATCGAAGGATGAGTGACGATGTGTTCTGTCTACGTGTGCCATGATCACAATGCCAGTCAGCCGCCAATGGAAGAATGAATGGGCGTCCAAGATAACAGCCGGGAGGTAGCAGCCTCAAGACGTTCACTTGAAGTTTGGTGAGATGCGCACTGCGGGTAATTCTCGATAAGACAGCAGCGTGAGATGGTTGCCGGTTTTACTCACACGAGGGAGAGAAACGGCGTTCAGGCTGCGAGTTGGGACCTGCAAATTCGGTGAATTATATGCTTTTGGAAGTATCCCCACAACCAAACTTCAGATTTATCGATGGAATTCAGAAAATAAAAGCAAAATTAGCGGAACTCACTTGCTTCATGCGATTGCGTCATGCTTAGCAGCACTTCAAAATCAGGAAAATGGAATGATATCTCGTATACGATTCATCGCTAACTATATAAAAATCTATTAATAAGAACTCCTTTTTTCGCCGTCCATTTTCTTGAGGTTTTCCTCTGTAACTTGTTTTTTTCCTCCTCTTTGTGTTACAGCTCCAAGCGACCCCAAGAACATTCGTGGGCAAGTAACGAGTGATAAATCAAGGGTGGAAGTCTCTTGGCAGTACGACAGTGTTTGTGCCTCTCCGGAATTTGTGGTGAATCTGTACACCACGGAGGTTTCAGCCATCAAGTCGGTGATCACAAACTCCACACAAGCCCAATTTGCAAATCCACCATCGTGTGTGGCAATGTCTGTTGGCGTGCTGGCGCGTAATTTACTGGGAAACAGTTCGGAGATAAAAAGCTCTAACTTTCACGTAGCAGGAGGTGAATCCAAACGTTCGCATTGCTGTGCTGGACAGCACATATTCATATCACAATTGACGCTTATCTAACATAAACAATGCGAATAATAATGATTCAACTGAGCACTTCCCTTTGAGTAAATCGCTCTAATGAACTTACTTGTAGTGTACGGAGATCTGATTACGTCGACATTTCCAAAGGTAGTCATCCTGAAACGGTCACGTGAGCACACACCACAAAAGAGAAGGGTCTACGGGCGGATCATATTGATATATCATGTATCAAAATTGTTTTTCGGCTTCTTCTTAATTGCACCTACCCATAAAAACTTGAAAGAAATGGTCGACACTATGTGCTCAGTTTTTTTTATATAGTTCGTTCTGACCACGGAAGCACTTTTGATGTGATTCGCGAACAATCAAGAGGATACTCTTGTTTGGAGAGGCTCATCAAGTCAACATGGATCTTGTTTAATAATATATATATATATATATTTATAAATACTGTAGGTAGCTGAGATTTTCTGCTGTCAATTTGATTTCCATGCAACGACCTTTCTGCCTGCCTGTCGGGGTATACGAATTGCTGACAACTTGGTGTCGTTTCTGCACGCAGTGTGCTTTCGCCTTTATTTTGTTTCTTAAGCTTCGAGAGTCTACCAATTTCTATTCTAATTAGTATCAATTTGAAGGATATCAATCACCTACACAGTATCAGGCAGTGTCTATAAAGGCAAACCGGGCGCGACCGATCGAAGTGTTAGGCTCCCCGTTAAGGTCCAAGGGTCTAGTATTATGTATGGCAGAATTTGCGTGCCAGCTGTCAGCTACTGCGCAAACAGAAAATGGCGGAAACTACTGAATGCTGATGGGTCACGATGTCCTTCAAATGGAACGCAAAAAGTGCATAGTTATCCAACTCCTAGAAGAGAACTTTGGCACTGATTCCAAAGTTTACTGACTTCGTTTTTGGATTCACGTTATCAGTAGAGTAACCAAAAATTGTTGACAACGTAGAGGTGATTTAGGGTTCCTAAAAAATGAACTAAGGCCAGCTAAACGAAACCAGTTTAACGAAACGCCGCTTACGCCAAATATCAGAACAAATATGATTAGTAGAAGGGAAATTTTCACGTTCTGAAGTGTTTTGAAGCGTTAATCACCAAACCAAATTTTGTTCTTACATTGTATTATCATCTGATCCTCAATGACAGTAGAGCCGACATTTTTATCCACCTTAGTGAGTTCAATGGTTGCAAACGTTGCGTTACCGGTTTGGACGGAACCACGGATTTTGGTGGGTGGGTGTGTGCTAGAGTAGCAGACGTGCACGTTTCAATATTAATCCAGGTTTGGTGAAGGCTTGGTCAACACCGGTGGGCATATCGTATATCCAGTCACCAGGTCGTGGATTGCTTTGCACCTTGGATGTTGTAACTAGAATGTGCACTGGCCGTAAACCAGTTGTCCCAATCAGATGCGCTTCTCAGGGATAGAAAAACCGTGGGCTTTTCACACCTGTTTTGAGTGCGTAACACATGTTATTCTACCAC